AAGTTCCCAGTTGAGGGGCTGGAGACTAAGGAGGTGGAATTCTTTGGAAGCAGGAGGAAGAAATTTACTGCATGTCACATTAGACTTTAGATGTTACCTATTTAAAAAATCAAATAAAGGCTCAAGAAAACAGTATAAATGAGGAAGTGGAGGAGAAAAGTTTTCTTACCAGAGTTCTCCTCTGGAATGGTGACTAGCCCTTCCTTTCTGGAACTCAGCAATAGTCAGCACTCTGAAGGAGGCCTCACTTCGAGCCTCAGAAGGAGCTAATCACACAAATAAGATTTGAAGCCACTCAGGAAGCCTGAGGCAAAAAGGCAAGAAGGTTCTGGAATGCTGTCCAAGTCTAGCCCTGGACACACAGGGCACGGGAGACCTGGGAGTCTCTAGGAGAATCACCTGATCCAAGATCAAACGATTCTGGAATGTTCTTCAGACACTGAATTGGATCTTCCATTTGTGAGCAACCAGGACCAGCTCAGTAGGTCAGACCCACCATCTTCACACCCTGACTTCAAAGCCCTTGATTTGCTCTAGGATGTTCTGAAGGAAGTGGAAGAATTAGCAGAATTTAAATAGCTTAAACTTCCTCCTTTGGGTCTAGAAATACAACTTTAAAAGTTGTTTTTGTGTGTGTCTTGTTTTGTTGATTTGTTTTTTGCAGAGAAAAGAGCATAGCTCTCTTTTTATTTTCTGTCTTGACCAGAGTGTAGTTCTTACAGCGGACAGTGCCCAGGAGTTGTTTTCACGGGAAATCCTTCACTCACTTCATAAGTGAGTGAAGTGACTCTATAAATCTCCAGTTTCCTGTCCCCAGTTTTGTCATGTAAACAGTGCACAGTTCTGGAGGTTTTATAGCTCTTCCAACAGAACACTTTGGAGAATTAAATAATCTTGGGGTGAAGACTGTGAAATCCACTTACAAATGAAAAAGCTCTTTTGAAATTTTTGTGTTTTTTTCTCAGCTAGATCTTGATTTTCTTCCTAGTACTTCTACACTACTAAGGAATTCACCCCCAAGTAGAGGTGGGGACAGAAAAAGGAGGTTGTTTAAAATAACGTCGTCCAAAAGCAGTCACTGTTCATCCCGTCCTCCCTGTGTCCACCTTGGGAGTTTAACTTTTGTCAGGGATTCTTTTCAGTTCTATATGGTACCACATTCTTCTACACATCAACATTCCCCCAGGAGATGTTCTTTCTCTTTCCTCCTGGATTGACGCCTGCGGACTGGTATTTTCTTTAAAGCATCTTTGATTTTAAAATTTGTCCAAGCGTCTTTCTCAGTCAACTTCCTTTCTCAATTTCAGGAAGAAATGGGAGGTAAAAAGATATCTTAGAAAATGCCTCCTTTGATGGCTACGAAGACTCTTTCAGACTCAACTGACAGTCAGGACTGTATGGTGGGGCAGCACTTCTGGATGTGAAGGATCAGTTCAGGATAATTTCCTTTCAAAATGTTTTAATAATTGGTTTCAACATCACCCATTGGCCACTGGCCTCCCTGCACAAAAAGTCAATATCAACTTATACTTGACTAAACATAGTTGAAGTCAGAAAAGGAAATGGATGTTTTGGTGATTGCTATAGACTGAACGTGCCTCTCTCCCCCAAATTACATTGAGACCATCTCAGTCCCCAATGAGATGGTATTTGGAGGTGGGGGCTTTAGGTCATGAGGATGGAGTCCTCATGAGTGGGATTAGGTCCTCATAAAAGAGATGTCAGAGAGCTCTTTCACCCTTTCCTTCATCTGAGGACAGTGAGAAGACTGTTGTCTATGAGACAGGGAGCCAGGAAGCAAACTTTCACCAGACTGAGAATCGACACTAGTCTCCGGAACCGTGAGAAATAAATGTTTGTCCTTTAAGCCACCTGGTCTATGGTATTTTTGTTACAGCAGCCCATATGGACTAAAACTGGGATAGAGATGCAAATGAGGCGCACAGGACTGAGCCAGTTCTGGAAAGGTAGGCCCATTCACTTGTGATCAGTTTGCACAATATACATTTGCCTACAGTGTTCATATTTAAAACAACAAAAATCAGCTTTCAACTTTAGAACATATGGTAAGGTGGTGAAGGTCTCTGTAGACTAATTTATAACATATGATTGAAAAGCTGGTATACCCCTGAGGTAGGGTAGGTAAGATGTACTGTTGGATCAGCCAGCTGAAGGCTCACTGCTTCTGATGGTCTTTCTGACTGGGTACAGAGAAAATAGCACTAACCATATCAGGAGCTGCATACCAGGGCCAGGGCATGTGTTAATTTTCTCCATTAATAAAAGAACATCTGGAATAGCAGATGCAATGGAAATAATCACTTGATTAGATCTACAATAACTGTCATTTTCCACAACCCATTTACCTTCTACAGTTGAGTAAGTGAGTTGAATAGAAATTTGGTGAATCTCTGTCCCTGTATCTTTCAAGTTTTCGATGTTGGCACTAACCTCTAAAATCGGTCCAGGAATAACAGTATTGTGTTTTGTGTAATTATTTTCACAGAGGAATTTCTGGTGGCCTCTAATTGGCCTTCACTCCATTAGTCATGGAAATGATATAGAGATTCTCTCTGGAATTGGGAAAGTAACCACAGGGTGGGCTCAGGGATCCACTGTGTCCACAGTGAAATGGACAGGAGGCAAAACTTCATTGGTTGCCTGACCTTCATGAGTACCTACTGCCTGGTGGACAGCAATGATGTTTTTTATCTCTAGCAAGTAATGCCGGTTCCGAGCCATTGTCTAGTAATTCCTGAAAAGTCTGATTTTTTCCTTTTCCCTAATGCACAATCACTTTGGTACATGAGCGCAGGTCCCTTTAGGAAAGGCTAGGAGGAAGAATAACATTATACGTTTTTGGCAATGTGCCGGTGGACTTTCTCAAGGGGAAACAGAATTCTCTGCATTCAAAACTGGCTTGAGTCTGGGAGACTTTTCTGCTACAGATCAGGTCCAAGATCAAGCTGCCGTCAGGGTCAGTTCCTGGAGAAGCCTCTTTTCGTAGAAATCCAAATTCCGAAAAGAGCAACCATTTCCGCGGCGCCGGCTCATCTCCTCTGATATTTTCCCAGGGACCCTCACAGGCCTCGTCGGAACCCAGCAGAGGAGAGAAGGGAGAAAGGGAAAAACTGCCCCGTGTGAACAGCGAAACCATGCATCGGCGCGAGACTCTCAGGATAATTTCTTCCTTCAAACAAAGGGTAAGTGCGAAGATTTGTGGGGTTTGTTATTTTTTAATATAAGCAAGTTGAAATCAAGTAGAAGTACATAAGATAATCAGGAAAAAAAACTTGTTTCCGCCCGGTTTTGAACCGGGGACCTTTCGCGTGTGAGGCGAACGTGATAACCACTACACTACGGAAACACCTGCTAACTGTTGCTCCAGCCCTTATACATAACTGAGTAGATTTTGCCTGTATAGCCCGGGTTTACTCAGTTCATGCCTTTTGAAGAAATATTCATTGTTGCAAAACATTTCTCTCCCCTTTCCTCCATTTATGAAAACAAAACCAAAAACCTTTCATAATCCCAATTCTTGAATAAATTCCAGGCTTGGAAAGCTAAGGCAGCATCCTGGAGAATTTTTTTTTTTTTTGGTGAATTAAGGATATGAGTTTGTTGTTGTTTGTTTGTTTGTTTTATTTTACTTTTTTTTGTTTGTTTTTTAAAGCTCTGATGCTTGCATTCAGACTCCACTTCTCTCCATAATATGCTGGTGTTACGGAATGAGAATTCTGCAGCCTACAGTTTCCAAGACAGAATTTAAGGTACCCTTTTGAGGCCCCACTGGGAGTGATTTTTCATGCAGTCTTTTATATGAACGAATCCTTCCACCTCAGCATTTCTATACAAAACACCCCACTGTCATCTCCTGACCTCAGGATCCTCATTTCCTAGCTGACAACAGGCTCACAATTTTCTCCATCATTTAACTTCTAAAAATCTCTGCTTTATCAAGCTGTCTTCAACATTGCTGGTGATATTATTCTCCAAAATCACAAAAAGCAAGAGATAGGATTCCAAACAGGATATTCTGTTTAAGCAGATGTGCTGACATATGGAAGATACGTGCCCATATATGGAAGTTTTCCATGGCGCATAGTATAAGTGCTAACACTGGATAATGTTGCTAATCTGTCCTGATCATTTGTGTAGAAAATACACCTGCATCAGATGCAAAAGACCGAAGAAGATCTTTCTTAAAGTAAAATGAAGATACCGCTTCTGTGGAGAAGACCATCTCCACTGTTAGACAACTAATCAGAAGTCATGGTGGTATTGGATTTTAAGCTCTGGGAAGATGAGGAAGGTATCATGTGTGGCTTTGGGACCATTATATTGGTAGTTCTCAATAAACATTTGTCAAATCAGGGGACAATATTCGAGGTAACTTTCTGAAATGTATCCAAATTCCATGTGACATTCTTTTGCCCTGCACGTGCCCAGCAGTATCACCTGGAAGTCTAAGTAAAATCTGGCAACATACCTGCAGGTGGTCACTCGTTTCACTTCTTGAAGTTTTCACGGTATCGTATGGATATTATATCTCACTTCTTCCAACTTCAATATAAGAACAAAACTGGCTATTTTAAAATATCAGTTGAATAAATGACATGTGATATAAGGATTACCTGAAACAATATGAAAAGCAACTGGCAACATGGTTAATTTCCTTATTGAGAGAGATTAGTCTGTTGTTATATATTTTAAAGGAAATAGTTTCAAGGGATGACAAAAGTACTTTTGGCACAGACATTTGGAAATATTTTAAAAATACAAAGCACTGAGTTCCATTTTGGTTAAGTTGTAGGAAGTTGCAAGTGTGTGTCCCTCTCAACCTACTAACTAAAGCAAAGCCATAAGCTTAAGGGGAGTAGATTTTCTGAACCCATCAGGAGCGGAGGATACTAAAGAATCAACATAAACTAAATTCTAGAAAGAGGCCTTCATAGGAGAAAAGAAGCCTCTGGCTGTCCTTATTCCTGGCAGATGGCAGCGGCACAGAGGAGGAAAATCCTGTGAAGACCAGATTAGGAGAAACCAGAAGAAACTTAGACATTTTTAAGGTTTGCTTGTGGGCTTGCTTGACCCAAACAGAATTTCAAGTAGCCAAAACCAGTTCTGATTGTCTCTGATGAGGAGAGTAAGTCAAAAGGGGGTGAGGGAAAAGGCTAGAAAGTGGAAATACCCACTGAGGCACTCTCAAGTTCAAAACATTCTGAAGTTGGGGAGCACGGCAGGAAAACGAAGAGCAAACAGCACTTTGTGTTTCAGCTGCCAACAGCCAGGACTGGAGAGCTGAGAGAAATCTCTCCAAGGCTTACTGAATGGAGAGAGATCTCACAGCCAAAGAAACCTGGGGGAGGACAGGAGAGAAAAGAGAATGCCCAGTCACCCAAACAGCTGACATTCTGGCTGTTAAGCAGAGAGAGGTTTCTCAAGGTTTGGAAATCCGGGAGAGTGGCAGTAAAACACAAAGGGAGGGGGAAAGACTACAGATAAAGTACTGTAGTAAAAAATTTTTTTAATAAAAATAAATAAATACATACAATTAAATTTTAAAAATTGGTTTTTCCACACACTTTCCACCGAATTTTTACTAGAGGACAAAGAAAATGAAGACAGCTACTAGTTCATATGGTGGATGCTGATACAAAGTTAAAGAAATGTACTAAAGATAAGAAATACCATCTTACAGCTTTTTAAACAATTAAAAACAAAATTTATAAATTGCATAATGTAAAACAAGTAAATGCATAGTTAACTTGCCTCATTAAAAGAAATAGCTCTCTTTCGAATAGTCTTTCAAATCTTACTCGATATACTATATATATATAAAACGAGTCAATTAACTTCAGATACAAAAAAAAAAAAAAAAGAGAGAGAGAGAGAGGGTTGTAGGGTCCAACAGAGAAAAGAAAGCAAGCAGAAATTCGCTGCTCTACTGGTCCCTGACATCGTTGACGCCCGCTTGCAGGTGGATCAGGCCAGGCTCAAAAGGGCAAAGGTTTCCCAACTCCTTCCTCTGAGTTGCCTGACCTTGGCTTCAGTTCCCCTACTCCTCTCAGATTCCGGTGTTTCTCCCTGGTCCGGAACAAGGCCCTGACTCCGGACTCGCTGTGGTCTCGACTTCCCTTGTCATAGATTTGGTGATCTGGGGGGCATGGGGAGGGGTCAGAGGTTCAGGAGGGGGGCGGTCTTCACAGTCCTTTTGCCTCAGTCCTCAGCCCTGCACTCGGGCGCCACCAAGTGGCCTATGGCTGACATTGCAGCGTAAGGTCCCTGTCTTACTCCGCTCCGGACGAACGGCTACAGATTTAGCTTAAAGGCGACTGCGGAACCATCCTGAAGCCAAGCGGCTAAAGGCCTCTGGGAAGAGATGACCCGCCCGGTATGACCTCCAAGAGCCGAGAATCCGCACCCCGTGCGCGGAAGCCGAGTCCACCAAGCCCTGCTCTGTGCTCCGTGATCCGCCCGCCACCATCTCAGGCTTGCAGGGGCTTCGCGTTTCCCGAGGCCTTCTGGGAATAGTTTCAAGGAGGTAGTTGCTCCCGGACATTGATATGAGTCTTCCTCGGTCGGTTTGAGAGACTGAGTTTTCCTGGGGAGAAGCACGGTTCATCCGTGCAGGCAACTGGGATTTGTCTCTTCCTTTTTGATAGAAAAAAGAACATTTTTAAAAACATTTTACAAAGACCGCCGACTTTAATTAGGTATATCTTTAAACCATGTAAGTAAAGGCCTGAGCCTCGGGGCGGCCGGTTAGCTCAGTTGGTTAGAGCGTGGTGCTAATAACGCCAAGGTCGCGGGTTCGATCCCCGTACGGGCCAATACCCTTTACGTTCATTTTCTCGTCCCCGTCCTACCTATAGGCCACATGACCGGTGGAAATTGCACCCGTACATCCAATTACAGACAATCCTAATATCACTACCACTGAAAGATTTGATTGTGTGTATTTCTTTTTAAAGAAATAAAGTACCAGAGTCAGGATGGAGAGCTTTTAAAGAAAATTGAATGAGGTAAGGTGGATGTATTTAGGGGAAGAGGAAACTGGGAGAATGAGGAAATGTCTTGCATCATTCTGGAAAAAACTTCAGGCAATAATGCTTTGATATAGTTTATACTTCTGAAATGTAAAAACATCATTCCTCTTCATGGCAAGTTGCTCACTTGGTTAGGGTATTTATTGTTTTTATAATGTCAAGGTCGCTGATTCGATTCCTCTTGAAGTATATGCCTCGTGGTATTTCGGTTTTCTTCTTCTCAATGTGGGAATATCTCAGGCTTGTGGCGTAGCCTCAGACCAGCAACCGCGAATGCTCTGCGGTAAAATGGAGCAATGATGAGACTTTGGGTTATATTTGACCGTTACCTCGGTGCTGCAAGTTAAGAAGCCATTTACAGCTCGTCTAAATTTTTTTCAAACGTTTATCATAAAAGCGTTGGATTTAAGATTTGAATCCAAAATGAAAACGGGGTGCGCAGTGGGGGATAGGAGGGCAAGAGCCCCTGGGGCCGCTGTCAGTCTAAGTACCTCACTCTCCCTGTCTGTCCTTTTCTTCAAGTCTGGCGCCTGGGTCTCCGTGTGCCCAGCACGAGCCTCCTCCTGTTTCTCCCCTCGACCCTTGCACTGTCCCTCAGACTCCCAGCATATTTTTACTCTTTCTCTTGTTTAAATGTATGGGGTTACTTTGAAAACGACATACACGATATCGATTAAATAATGACATAAGTAATGTCTCAAGCACAGTACCAGGGACATAGTGAGTGCTCAATAAATCCAAGAAGGTAAGGCCTTGCTGTGCTTTGGTCAGTGCTGCATCCTTCATGTCAAGTACTGTGACTGGCTCAAAGCCAGCACCTGAAAAAATGTTTTTAATTAATAAAGGGCATCCACTGTTTCATTGCATATTAAATAATATACTTATAGATTTTAAGTATGAGAAGGCCTCGACAGGTTATTGCTAACTTTGAAGATGAAGGCGGCCACCAGCCATGGAATGTGGACATTCACTAGAAACTGAGAATGACCGCTAGCTGACAGCCTTCAAGGAATGGGAAATTCCTAGAGATTTATCAGTACCCACTGTTCATAACATATTTCTATTTGTCAGAGTCCTGGTGTTGTTTTGCCTGATATTAGACAACATCAGTAGAATACAATGAGCCATAATTTCAGTTATCTTTTTAATGTTAACTTGGTACACTTTGAATCTAACATCTAGGCAACTGGCTTTCAATTGAGGATTTACATTACTTACCTGTGAAACCTTATTAATATATAAATGTGTAGGACCTACTCCAGACTTATTGAATCTCTCTGCTTGATATTGTTGATATATTGTTTATATATTCTTATTACATGGTTTGGATATTCATGGCATATTGTGTCTCAGAATTATTATATGTTATGTATCAAGATTTTGTTTCTCTGTAAAGATTATGTTCATTCACATTTATAAATTAGATGCACTGTTTTCTGTCTTCTTTGAAAATATGGTTGATTGTTATGTCTACAGAGATTTTTGCCTAAAATTTATTTTGGAATGGCTCTGTTATTCCTTGCTATTCTTTTTCCAAAATTCCTTGTTAGTGGCATTAGACTTGTTATAAACTCTCATCAGATCTTTAACTCCAGAAAGGCTAGTTAGTAAAATTTGTTATTTAGATTCCAGGCTGATAGGGTCTAAAGTTGTCTCTGGGGATTAATCTTTGCCCTTCCTGGTGGGGGGGGGGACTTTTAAAATGTATTATGTCCTTTGTATGTCCTGCTTTATAGGCAAATAGGGAAAGTGAAGTGAGCTTTTCTTGTATCTGCTTCTTCTCTTTTGTCTTCAGCTCACAATAGTCCTTATGCCAAAGTGGTATATTTTGTGGTGGCATAGTCTGCTACCCTTCATGACTACCTTTTTTGCTCACATTCCTTGGGAAGTAGATGGGGAAGAACTCTATGGATAAACTGAGGAAAATGAAACCAGGTTTCCAGTGAAGTATAAACAGGATTTCAGGCATAGTGCAGGACTATTTCTACTAAAGTGAAAAGACAGTGACTCTGGTGGAACTCCAGTCATAATCTTTGAAATTTCTCTAGATAAAAGGGAAAAGCCCAATGTATAGGCCAGTGCTACACAGTGTACATTTTAGCTATAAACTACAATGTCACTTAAGATTCAAGAAAGTGGTAATCTACTTGTGATTTATTTCCTCAAAATGTCATTGAGCTCCAATTTTCCCCCTGTGCACTCAGTAAGTTCTCCTGATGCACAAACAAATACAGTTCCTAGGGCTGCACAAAACCAAAATGATGAGGGTCTACATTTGACATTGCTCTCTTGTTCTCAAAAATAAAAATGAGTCTGATTCCAACTAAATGTCGTGGCTTATTAATTCTTTGCCTGACACTGATAACCGAACTCCATCATTTAGCTGACTATGTTGGATGTCACAGTTTAAGAGAGCTGAGACTGAACTTCCAAGACAGAATTTGAAATCTTACTCTCTATCAGGTACTGGAAGATAATTTGTGCTCAATTCATATACCAATCATTAGCAAATCCATCACTTTCTATCAATTACAGGAAATTTATTCACTTTTCCCTTCATCACAACTCTTCATATTGTGAAGGTATTATCTGGAAGAAGACTCTCCACAATTGGAATAACAATTCAATACAGACTTACCAGTAATATAAATTCCTCAATGCATCTCCAGCATGTTTAGTGGCAACTACACTGTTGAAATACAAAAACCGAAAGGGAAAGGGAAAGGCCCCGCTGGGATTCGAACCCAGGATCTCCTGTTTACTAGACAGGCGCTTTGACCAGCTAAGCCACAGGGCCCCCTCTCAAACTATGCTTCGGTTATATCACATTTGTAACATTTTCTGTGAAATGTAGCATTTTGCCAGAAACGTACTTGATTTTGTGACAAAGAGAACGCACCTGTATTTCTGAACTATATTTCTACACTAAAGCAGAAACTTCAACATTAAAAAATAAAAATGCATTCTTCAGCGCGAGGTTTTAAAAATTATTTTAAATTGGAGTGAAATTCCTATTTCATGGTGACTATCGCCCTCTAGAGGAAATATTGGATATTGCAACACATTTAAAATTTTTCTCCGTTAATTCATTTTGTCAACAAATGTGGTCACTACTGTATTTCAGGTAGTTTTCTAGGTACTGGAGATAAAGCAGAGAACCAACCAAACGAAAACTTCTTCATCTATAGGATTTGTATTCTAGAAGCAGGGAAATAAAGCAAGTTTTAAAAATTTCTCCCTCCAACCCTCCCCCCCCAAACAACGAGAGATGTAAGCACTAATTCCGCTACCGCAAGGTTAAAGAGCCCACGGTGCTACTTTCTGAGCTAATTCACTGCACATGAGCAAGACTATAATGCTTCCTTCTGTTTTATCTAACCTGGCATAAGAAAGCAAGCAAAGATAAGGACACTCTGATGCACAGGAGATTCTGCTCATTGCACCGTTGAGTTAAAACTGACTTGGTTCCTGTCTTCATAGGTTGTAAAAATGAGTGGAGGATGCAGAGAATTAAAGAGAAAATTAGGGTACAATGTGGTAAATAACTCCCGCAGGATGCCGTGGGAGCCTCTAACTTGGGCAAGATGCAGGGCGCGTCTTAGCAGAGTCACATGACCTCTCTTCTCAGTTTCCAGGTCAGGTTGATGATTGCAGAAGGGGTTGTGGCATGTTGGCCGAATACAGCTTAGCGTAGGGGAAGAATAGATGAGACCACCATTCTGAAATGTTTAAATAACCGCCTTGTGCCTTGTGCTTTATGGGAAAGGACGAGGGCTTATGTATTCACTGAACATCCACAAAATGCAAGACCTTGGAGAAAACAGAAATCACTTAGGAGATCCTGTGACAGATCTACACACCCGATTTCCTCTAGGCACCCATCAGCTCTTCCCTGCCTGTCTAGCCTGTGCCTAATCTACTTGCCCTTTCTTACAACAAGATTTATTCATTCCCTTTGTCCCTATGTCCTGCTGCCATTCCTCTCCTTACATAAACAACTTTTCTAATTTGTTTATTATGTATCACTTTGATCATATATATATTTGCAAAATTGACATTTTTGTTTTGTGCACATATATTATAAATTTATATAAATGATATATATTCTTATGCCTTTAAAAGAACATTGACTTTAAGATCCATCAAAGTTGCTCTGTGTGCACTTAAATCATTGCTTCTAATTGCTATGTAAGATCCCATAATGGGCACTGTATTTCCTCTCTTCTGTCCCAGTGATGCGCTCACAGGTTGCCTCCATTGTCCCCCCACTCCATATAACATCACTTCCTCATCCATCTCCCTTTATGTACTTGTGCGTGTGTATATATATATATATATATATATATATAAATATATATACACACGGATTAGTGTATATATATATGTATACTAATTAATCCCAGCTTATTTTTGTCAGTCTACACTCCCACCAGCACTGCATATCCCTTTATCCCTGCCCAGGCTTAACATTATTCAGCTTTCTACTCTGTAATCTAATATGTGTAGAGTGATACATCTCGTCATTGTTTTCTTTAAAATTTTATTTATGTTTTCTAAAGATTTGAGCATCTGTCTATATGTTTGTTAGTCATTCGAATTGCATCTTATGTACAGTGATACTTTTCTTATCATTTGTCCATATTCGTATAGAGGTTGGTGTATTTTTCATGTTGATATACCTGGGGTACATTGTATATTGTAGTCATTAGTCTATTGTGAATTTTAGACCTTGCAGTATGTCTACTGTTATGTTACCTGTCTGTTGACTTTGACAGAACTTCATGGCAGAGCCTTGATTTTATTAAGGATTTATCGTTTTTTCCCCTACTGGTTTGTACTTTTGAGGTTATGCTTAAAGGGTCTTTCTCTGCTACTAGGTTAAAAAATATTCTCTCTTTTAAAAAGTATAGAGTTTCTTTTTTATGTTTGAGACATGATCTGTCTAAATATCTAGAGAAGTGTACTGGGTTTTTATATGATAGTCTATTGGGGTTGTGTCTTCTAGTGTCCTAAGTTTTGGTTTAGTAAGGGTCTCCAGGATGTGTTGGTGGTCATGTAGCATCCTACACTTCCTTTACTTAGCCTCCTCACGTTTTCATGAAATTATGTATTTAGTAAAATTGTGTGCTTTTTCTGTTAAAATATATGTCTGCAAGGTCAGGGAGAGTCTAACAACCCAGCACAAGTCATAGCACGTAAATAGTAAATTTAATGAAAATAATTGTTTGAATTATGTTTTATGAATTTCCCGTCAAAGAACCTTCCAAAGATTTGTTTT